TGGAGTTTTTGCAGTGGGAGGTGGGGTGGGAAATGTTCTGGAATTAGATAGTGGCGATCAATGCACAATTTTGTGACTATACGAAAAACCACTGAGTTGTACACTCCAAAAGAGTGGACTCTATGATATGTGAATTACAGCTGGCCCTGGAGCAATGCGGGTTTGAACTGGGCCCAAACTGTTCAAGGGTCAGCTGCATTTTCCACCTGCCTGGGTGGAGGGCCAGCAGAGTTTCGACTGCCTGGGTCATTCACACCCTTAGCCCCTGCATTGTTCCCGTGTTAACTATATATTTTAAGGAAGCTGTTACTAAAACATAAAAATCATTCATTTAATAAATAAATCACTCAGCACTGCTGTAGGCAATGAGGAAAGACTGAACAAATCCGACACAAATTCCTGCCCTCATGGAGATGACATTCCAACGGAATAATCTTAATGAGAGACCATGAGGGTCTTAATGAATGGCACTAGAGAGAGAAGTGGATGGACTTGAGAGACTCATGCTACAAAGAAATGGCTAGCTGACCCACTGGAACTGGAGAGAAGTCTGAGATCACTGTCTCTTGGGGCCCCGTAATAATTTTTATTGCCACCCATCTGGCCTCCACAGTCACTGTTCCCCTGTAAAAGCACTAGAAAATGGGACAAAGTGCTCTTTACAAATTAGAAATTTCAGGAATCTCTGAGAGATAAAATAGAGAGAAGATTTGGTCTGAAAGAGAAAAATCACAGTCAAAACTAAAGCTCAAAAGAACTTGGTGCATAAAAGCAGGCAGGACCCCAAAACTACTCAAATCTCAGAGGCGGTGGATTCCAAGAGCAGGAAAGTATTGGGAGAGAATTCTCCAGGGGTCTCCCACATTTCTGTATGGCTTATAGACAGAAGCACAGACAGGCTCTGTTGCAGACTATCCTTTCAAGGGTGTCTGAATAGAGAACAGCCTTAGAAGACAGAGATAGTATCTCCCTCCAGAAGCAGGGAGCAAGTTTGATTGCTATCCAGTACAATAAAAATAAAGTCGCCCTCGGGGGCAAATGATGAGTAAATTTGCTTGAGCCCATTATAAAAGATTGGGGTTTCCTAAGCACAGGACCCCTTAGCAATCCATTGCTTAGGCTATATCCATCTGAGCCAGCTGTGTCACCCCCATGAGACTTGTGGGGAAGAGGCAAGGGGAACTGACATGACAATAAAGCTCATGCGCTTCTGAATCCCAAGTAACCAAATCGTTTGTCTCTGATCCTGGAGTCTCGTGTCTTCTGCTGGCATCCATGAGATTGTGGCGGGCTCACTTAAAAGCTTGCAAGTCAGGTAAAACCTCAGACCTTCCCAGCTCTTAACAGAGAGGTCCTGAGGCAATCAGCTGGGTAACTGGACAGGGAGACCACAGGAAGAGCAGCCAAATAGGTCATCCTCTCCTTCATCTCTTACCTGCTAGTATCAGACAATGATATCTGGCCCAGGAGGGGTCAGTGAGGGAGACGACAGAGGGAGGGCAGCCCACAGGAAGAACAGGGAGCTCTCACAGCCAGAAACAAACAAGTGACACATCTCCCAAACAGCACCCTCTCCCCACATACCCACAGGGTGCAGTTACAAAACACAGCAACCACAGGCTAACTTAGCCTCAAGCAAGGGAAAGGGAAAGGGAAAAGGAAAGGAAAGTAATGCAAGAGACATCTTTCCTTTACACCTGCAATAAATAATTAGAAAATGTAATAGAAAAAAAATATTGTATGCACAAGAGCAACAAAACAGTAAAATCCTATATAATAAAAGGCTAGTATGCAAATTGTCCCCACTGGCGAGAGTTCAACCTACTGGGAGTTAGATGTGCACTGACCACCAGGGGGCAGCATGAAACATGATGGGCATCCACGATGCTGTGCTGGCAGCTGGTGGCAGTGGAGGGGCTGCTGGCTCCAATGATCCCAACGACCAGAACGTGATCACGGCGGGATGGTGGAGCAGATGAGCGGGCAGTGCCAGGCCAAGGCGGGTGCAAGCGGGGGCCCCGATCACCCTGCTGGTCACCCCACAGATCAGCCCTGATCCCCAACCAAGCCTAGGGACCCTACCCATTCATGCATTTCGAGCCTCTAATAAAACCATAAGAATGAATCTAAAAAGAAATTCCCAAGACCTACATGGAGAAAGCTTTAATACTTTTATATTTTTAAAAACTGAATGGTTAGTCAAGATGGTGTGGCTCAGTCGATTGAGCATTGTCCCATACATGAAGGAGTCTCCAGTTCAATTCCTGGCCAGGGCACATAGCCAAGTTGCGCGCTCAATCCCCAGTAGAGAGAGTGCAGGAGGCAGTCGATCAATGATTCTCTCATCATTGATGTTTCTCTCTCTCTCCCTCTCCCTTCCTCTCTGAAATCAATAAAAATATATTTAAAATGGGCAAAAGAGCTCAACAGACACCTCACCAAAGAAAAATATAAAGATGGCAAATAAGCACATGAAGGTGCCTCCACATCATGTGTCATCAGAGAAATGCAAATTAAAACAATGAGCTACCAATATTATGTCTATTAAAATGGGAAAAATCTAAAACACGGACAACACCAAATGCTAACAAAGATGAGGAGACACAGGAACATTCATTCAGTGAGAGTGAGGGTGCAAAGTGGCACTGCCAGCCACTTTGGAAGACAGTTTGGCAGTTTCTTACAAAATTAAATATACTCTTACCCTATGCCCCACACTGTGTTCTTTGGTATTTACCCAAAGGAGTAAAACCTACACTCAAGTGTTTATAGCAGGCTTACTCATAATTGCCGAAACGTGGAAGCAAGTAAGATGTCCTATAGGTGAATAAATAAGTAAACTGTGGTGAGTGCAGACAATGGAATATCATTCAATACAAAAATAAATGAGTTCTCAGCCATAAAGTGACCTTAAGTGCATGTTACTCAGTTAAAAAACCAATCTGAAAAGGCTGCAACTGTATGACTGCAACTACATGGCATTCCAGAAAAGGCAATATTATGGATACAGTAAAAAGATTAGTGATTGCCAGGGGTTATGGACAGGGAAAGAATGAATAGGGAGAGCAGAGCATTTTTAGGGCAATAAAATTATTCTGTATACCATAATGATGAATACATGTCATTTTGCTTTCATCAAAATCATAGAATGTACAACACCAAGAGTGAACCCTAATGTACACTATGGGCTTTGGGTGACGAAGTGTCAATTAGGTTCATCAGTTGCAACAAATGTACCACGCTGGTGCAGGATGTGACAGTTGGGGAAACTACACATGTGTGAACCTAAAACTATGCTGAAAAGTAAAATCTATTATTTTTAAATGCTATAAATATAGTCTCTCATGTCTTCTCTTAAGTTCCTTGAAAGACATGTCTGTATAATGCAATAATTAAACACTATATTACTGGATTCATAACATAAGTATAATATAGATGAGAATATAGAACAAAGAAGAGGGAATGGAGTTCTATTGGAGCAAAATTTCTATATATTATTGAAATTAAGTTAATATTATCTTAAGTAAATTTTTATAAGATGCATATTGTGATCCTTAGATCCCCACCACAAAGAAAACAGCTCAAAATAATATGGTTTTAAAAAATCAACAGAGAAATTTATAATGATACACACACAAAATATTTATTTTACAAAAGAAAAATTATTTTCTCTTTTCAAGGAGCAACAGGGGAACAAAAAAAAGACAGGACAATTAGAAAACAAATATTAAAATGGCAAGTGTAAATGCAACCATATCAATACTACCATAAATACACATGATCTAACCAGCAGTCACCAACCTTTCGAACCTCATGGTAGGAAGTAGGAATTGTTAGAATGGATTTAAAAAGCAAGATCCAATTGTGTGCTGTCTATAAGAGACATCCTCAAGCAGTGCGCTCAGCGGTCCCGGATCTGTCTCTTGCTTCAATAGTTTTGGATAGAAAAGACCTCAGGACACCCCTTCTTCCAGCCTTCAGCCACTCTCCTGGGTCTCATCCAGTCACCATCTTCAGAACCACCTCCTGGACCAACCAACACACCAGGGGTTTTTTCTACCTTTACTCCTTATTGCCGAACAACTATGCGCTCCCACATTCGTCAGAATTATTCCACCGATGTGGAGGCTGCAGCCAGCCTGCATCTGCGGGCCTCCCACACCTACCTCTCTCTGGACTCTCATTTCAATAGGGTCGATGTGGCTCTCGAAGGCGTGGGCCCCTTCTTCTGCGAGTTGGAGGAGAAAAATCGAGAGGGCGCTGAGCATCTCAAAGTTGTAAAACCAGCGCAGTGGTGGCTGCATTCTTTTCCAGGACGTGCTGAAGCCTCCCCAGATGAGTGGGCAAAACTCAGGACGCCATGGAAGCCGCCCTGGCCTTGGACAGGAACCTGAACCAGGCCCTTCTGGAGCTGCAGGCCCTGGTTCTACCCGCGCAGACCCGCAGCTCTGTGACTCCTGGAGAACCACTTCCTGGGTGAGGAGGTGAAACTCATCAAGAAGATGGGCTACACCTGACCAACATCCATCCACAGGCTGGTTGGCCCCAGGCTGGGCTGGGCAAGTATCTCTTCCGAGAGGCTCACACTCAAGGACTTTGGAACCCAGAGGCCTTTGAGGGGCCCCTCTGCATTCCCCTGGTGTCTGGCTTTTACCTGAGCCTCTTCTCAAAACTACTAGCCATTCTTTTAACCACCCTAAAGCCCTCTCCCATGCACTGGACCAAATGAAACAATAAAGCTTTTTGCAGCAAAGAGAGAAAGAGAGAGAGACATCCTCAAGATTCAAAGTAACCTTAGGTAAGAGGGCTGGAGTGGCTATATTAATATTGGAAGAAAGTAAACTTTAAGGCAGGAATTATTATTATTATTATTAGAAAAGAGCTATTTTATGATGATAAAAAGGTCAATAAACTGAGACTATATAACAATTGTAAATGTACATTCACCTATAACAACAGAGCTCTAAAATATATGAAGAAAAACTGACAGGATTGACTGGCTGCTCTGAAAAGCCATCTTTGCATTGTTCCTGTGGCTCCCTCTCCGCTCGCTGCAACCACCTCCTCCGCGCGCCTCCTCCACCGCCGCGGACTCCGGCAGCTTCTTCGCCAGAGTCCTCCAACTCTCGCTTTTTAAAAAAAAATCCGCTGCATAGGATCACCAGCGTGCCCCACCATGTCAGACACGGCCGTGGACACCAGCTCCGAGATCACCACCAAGGACTTAAAGGAGAAGAAGGAAGTTGTGGAGGAGGCAGAGAATGGAAGAGATGCACCTGCAAATGGGAACGCTAATGAGGAAAATGGGGAGCAGGAGGCTGACAATGAGGTAGATGAAGAAGAGGAAGAAGGAGGGGAGGAGGAGGAGGAGGAAGAGGAAGGTCA